AAGCAAATTCTCCTGCCTCAGCCTCCTGAGTAGCTGGGATTACAGGCATGCACCACCATGCCCAGCTAATTTTTTGTCTTTTTAGTAGAGACGGGGTTTCACCATGTTGACCAGGATGGTCTCGGTCTCTTGACCTCATGATCCACCCGCCTCGGCCTCCCAAAGGGCTGGGATTACAGGCTTGAGCTACCGCGCCTGGCCTATGACTGTCTTCTACCTTGACATCTTGTCACACTGAAGTGAGGCCAGTAACACGCACGGTGCCGTCATCTGCCATGGCAACAACGCCTTCTTCTGGAATCTTTACTGAAGGACCTGCCTGAGGCTGTTGTATATTATAGTTAACTTTAAAAAAGTAACTAGATGGGGCTTGGTGGCTCACACCTGTTATCCCAGCACTCTGGGAGGCTGAGGCAGGCAGCTCACTTGAGGTCAGGAGTTCAAAACCAGCTGGGCCAATATGGTAAAACCCTATCTCTACCAAAAAATTAAAAAAAATGAGCCGGGCCTGGTGGTGTAAGCCTGTAGTTTCAGCTACTGAGAAGGCTGAAGTGGGAGGATCGTTTGAGCCCTAGAGGTAGGGGTTGCAGGGAGCCAAGGTTGTGCCACAGCACTCCAGCCTGGGTGCCAGAGGGCGACCCTGTGTTAAAAGAACTAAACAAAACTAGAAGAAATATGCTCTAAAATAATGATTTTAAAGTACAGCACAGTAAATACAGAAACCAGTAAGAGTTGTTTCCTATGGAGTATTACACAGTGCCCTGTGTTTGTAGGACTGGCAGTGAACTAGGTTTGTTTACACCAGCATCACCACAACCATGTGAGCAATGCACTTACTTGCTACCATATTACAACAGCAACAATGTCTCCAGGGGAGAAACACTTTCATTTCTATCACAATCTCACGGTGACCACTGTTGTCATGCAGTCTGCACTGAACAGAAGGATACTGTGTCATGTCTGCCTGCGTTGACTATCTGGCCCTTTACAGAAAACCGTTGCTGGCCCCTGTTCCAAAACGTGCAAACCACCACGGAAAAGGATAAGGAAAGTTGCTTAAGTCGAAATTTGCTTTCTAAGCTAAGAAAAAGTAAGGATAGTGTTTCTGTAAGCAACGGTTACTGTATACACTGTCAAGGCTGTTCTAATGCTTCTCACTAATCATTTCATTTAATCCTCATAGTGACTTGACATTTAACATCGAATCCTCATAATATTGTCATTAATTCCATTTTATAGATGAGGCGAGTTAGGCACAAAGAAATTAAGTGATTTTTTAAGCTGTGTCTAACAGTTTAGTCTTGGAGGCGTAACAGGTACACATTCACTTATCCAAATTGCTCTTTCTTTTTTTTTTTTTTGAGACGGAGTTTCGCTCTTGTTTCCCCAGGCTGGAGTGCAATGGCGTGATCTCGGCTCACTGCAACCTCCACCTCCTGGGGTCAGGCAATTCTCCTGCCTCAGCCTCCTGAGTAGCTGGGATGACAGGCACACGCCACCAGCTAATTTTTTGTATTTTTAGTAGAGACGGGGTTTCACCATGTTGACCAGGATGGTCTCGATCTGTTGACCTCGTGATCCAACCGCCTCGGCCTCCCAAAGCGCTGGGATTACAGGCTTGAGCCACCGCGCCCGGCCCCAAATTTCTCTTTCTTTAGAATGAGATCAAAGTAGAACTTCAGACAGGAACGAATGTGCATTCATGGTAATGGCGCGTGGAACGTCACTGGCTGGACCACATAACCATCACTTCAGGCAATTCCCCTCAATGAAAAAACTAAAACAGGTTGTAGCGTTCTTTCTTGTCCTGGTTCTACGTTACACAGGTGTGTTCGGTTTGTGAAAACTCATGGAGCTGTAGAATTAGGAAGTGTGCACTTTTCTGTGTGTGTGTATTATACATGAGGAATCAGTTTCAAGGTGACTGCTGTCACCTGGTACCTTGTGACCAGAGCCCTGTAAAGCCATCTCGAGTAAACACACCCAGTCGTGGTTTGCCCAGGTTCCTGACCAGCCACAGCAATTGTAAGATCACAAATTTTTGTGGTTTTAAGTTGCTAAGTTTTAAGGTCATTTGTCACTTAACAGCGGATAACTAATACATCCTGAAGTAGACATGAGTATTTACATTGAAAAGAGAGAGAGATAATAAACCTAGAAAATCAAAAGAATACTAACTTAAAGGAAAATCAAGGCCAATAAACTGCAAATTAAAGACAGCTAAAGGGATACGGTATTGCATTATTTCAAAAATACTTGCAGGGGCAAGGCACAGTGACTCCCTGTAATCCCAGCCCTTTGAGAGGCCAGCGCAGCAGGACTGCTTGAGGCCAGAAGTTCAAGACCAGCCAGGGGGACACAGACCTTGTCTCTACAAAAAAAATGGTTAAAAATCAGCTGGCGCGGTGGCTCAAGCCTGTAATCCCAGCACTTTGGGAGGCCGAGGCGGGTGGATCACGAGGTCAAGAGATCGAGACCATCCTGGTCAACATGGTGAAACCCCGTCTCTACTAAAAATACAAAAAATTAGCTGGGTATGGTGGCGCGTGCCTGTAATCCCAGCTACTCAGGAGGCTGAGGCAGGAGAATTGCCTGAACCCAGGAGGCGGAGGTTGCGGTGAGCCAAGATCGCGCCATTGCACTCCAGCCTGGGCAACAAGAGCGAAACTCCGTCTCAAAAAAAAAAAAAAAAAAAAAAAAAAAATCAGCTGGGCATGGTGGCACAGTCCTGTACTAAGCTACTCAGGAGGCCGAGGTAGGAGGACTGCGAGAGTCTAGGAGGTCGAGGCTCCAGTGAGGTAGGCTCCTGCCACTGCCCTCCAGCCTGGGTGAAGAGCAAGACCCTGCCTCCCCACCCCCCCAAAAAAGATCATATTGTAGAGATGTCAATTTTGCCGAAATGTCTTCAGAGGTTTATTTTATTCTAGTTCGAATGATAAGATAAGAAGGGGATGTCTTAAAACAACATGACATAACTCTGTAACCATTACCCGGAAGAACAAACACGTGGCATGAGTTGAGACCAATCTGAAACAGGACGACAAGTCCAAGGGGTGAACCCTACCACTGAGGAACATCCTCAGTGAGAGAAGACAGCCCATACATGACGGCCTAGTTCACAAGTCACTTCCTTACCCCAGGTTATATGCTGTGAATAGGTTGTATTTTTATTTCTAAGCACTTACTGCTGTAGCTGTGTAAGTGGCAACTATATGATCGTTACTGTAACGATGAGTGGACCTCCCTGTCAGAACTGTGAGCTCCAAGAGACCTGGTGGGTGTCTGTGCTGCCAGGACCTAGCAGTCTGCACACCGAGGGCTCACAGGACCATGCAGGCAGACACACTCACGCCCTGATGAGTTAAGGCTAAAATACAACCACCTCTGTGATGGGAGGCCTGGCAACCTGCTTAAAACCAGGATCTTAAAACGGGCATATCTTTGGACTGAGTGATGCACTTCCAGGAACCTGGTGAATTTTGTACAAAGCTATGCATTACAATGTGTTTATAACAGCTAAAAGCTAGACCTAACTGTCAGCTACCAGACTGGATTATTTGACAAAGACATTTAGAGAAAATGTGGTTATGAGACAACTGACTGCTATAATGAAAACAAAATCCAGATTATGAAAATGTAGAATTATATACAAGGTATGAATCCAACGGTGCTTAAGAAACACAGACTCCTAAGCACACATCTTACATAGAGAATGGAAGAAAATATTCTAAGGTATACTTTTTTTTTTTTTTTTTTTTTTGAGACGGAGTTTCGCTCTTGTTACCCAGGCTGGAGTGCAATGGCGTGATCTCGGCTCATCGCAACCTCCGCCTCCTGGGTTCAGGCAATTCTCCCGCCTCAGCCTCCCAAGCAGCTGGGATTACAGGCACGCACCACCATGCCCAGCTAATTTTTTGTATTTTTAGTAGAGACGGGGTTTCACCATGTTGACCAGGATGGTCTCGATCTCTTGACCTCGTGATCCACCCGCCTCGGCCTCCCAAAGTGCTGGGATGACAGGCGTGAGCCACTGTGCCCGGCTCTAAGGTAAACTTTTAAGTGTATTTGTATTTCTAAATACAACCTCTGTATTCTACGGGGGAAGCCATTATACTGTGCCGGGGAGGGGAGGGGGAATAACGCTCCCCTAGAGAATGCAGATTTCCACCCTGATAAAAAACGCCATTTACATTGTCTCTTACCTTGTATACAACTTTATTGCACATTAACAGCAAGCCTCACGTCCCCGCCCTAACAGACTGAATTCATGACAACGAAAATATTTCCTACCACCTTTACTTATCTGAGAAATATCAACCGTAAGGACTCAAACCCCCACAGGACATCAGAGGGCGGGAGACTGGAAAGCCCACAGCCTCTCAGCTTTTTGTGAGCTTGCCTTGCATTTCTGCGCTCTATAGACCCGCAGCCAAGGAATGTGTAGCAAGTAAAGATCCAAACCACAGGTCCCATCAGGACTCTGGTTTCCATACACCACATTTCGCTCAAGGTTGCTACGTTCTCAAAGGCACTGGAGAGCTGTTTCCCTTGCAGTTACGTGGTAAGGGTGCTTAGGCTCCAGGTTAATGACATCGCTGCTGCTGGCTATGTCGGCAGCAGAAGACACCGAAATGGCAGAAACGTAACACAAACCAGTTTGCATTTCTTAGGCACTATTTTATCAGACTGCAAACAAAATCCGAAAAAGGCAAATACAAGAAGAAGAAATTCTACACTCAAATAGCTCAGCTGGCGTATCCAAGAGTACGCGACACAGATTTGTGAGAGTGAAATAAACTACAAAGGCTGTGATGGAATAAAAACTCAACCGCGGGACGAGCCGACCGCGGCCCGGAATTCACGTGCGTGTCCACCACCGACACCGTCCCCGTGAAGGCTAACGATCCGTTCTGGCTTGTCACAGCAGACGGGAAACATCGCTATGGCTGGTTAATTAGTTCTCCCCGCCAGAGATACTTAGAAAGACCAGAATTACTCACGTGATGTCTCTTCGTTGATAGCAGCCCTGAAGCAGGCAGGCAATCAGGTCACTGATAAACTCCACGTCATCTCTGTGAAGAGCCGCTTCTAACTCCTGAGGGAGGCAGAGAGAGAAGTTGAAGAATCAGAGGTTTCGTGAAACACACCCCCTCCCTGCCGCGAGCACAAGCCCCAGGAACTGAAGGGTCCCAGGAGCAGGGGGACTTGCCAGGGATCAGCTGTGCCCTTGCTTTTGGTTACTGTGAGAAGAGCAACTGTTTTCCACATTTTCTTTTTCCTGGGGGTTTATTTCTCCCACCGCTCCCTCCCCAGCCCATTCCTCTTATCTATACGTGAGAAGACGCACGCATAACTCTTTTTGATACATCAATGATAGCTGCATAATTAAAGAGCTTAACTCTTTGATTATACATCATCGAGTATAAATATAAACATGCTGTACTGTTTTCCATTTTAACGGCAAAAGAGGAAAAGAGCGCTCATGTAAGTGTTTACAAAGCATTTGTCATTTACTTAAACCTTCTCAAGAGATCAACCATCTGCGACAATTTTCAAGACCCACTACATTTGGAATGGCATTGGTTAGCAAGCAATAATGACAATTTGTATTTTAGGACACCACGCGTACATGGCTGATGACAGCAGATTGCGAGAATCAAGGCTAATCTTACATCATCCAAACAGAATGAGGTAATACCTATGTAGGTGTCTTGGCTTTGCTTGGGGTTCAGCTTGTCTTGACGTGGTATTCTCACAAGGGATTGTTTGGAAAGGGCCACCGGACAAACGGTGGCAGCGGGAACTTCAGGAGATCCTATTTCCCTTCTCAATAACCCCAAATAAGCAGGCATTTTCTGAGAAGACAGCATCTTTTAGTCTGCCCACAGTCTTTCAACCAGGATGCAATCTTCTGCATGCAAACCATTTCCCAAGAGTCTGCTCCCTATGGTTTGACTTGCTCATAACCAGATCAATAATCCCCAGAAAAACCTTCTGTCAAACTTCTGACATTCTTATTAATGGTTCTGAAAGTACGAGATATGTGTTAAGATGCAACTTTTGATCTTAACAGCAATTGTATGGTAGCAGACACTACACAGGGTGGTCTCCTTCTAGTACAGAAACACCATGGCTCTGGCCAGGCATGGTGGCTCACTTAAGTGAAGAGATCAAGACCAGCCTGCCCAACACGGTGAAACCCCGTCTCTACTAAAAATACAAAAATGAGCCAGGTGTGGTGGCACGCCCCTGTGATCCCAGCTACTGAGGCTGAGACACAAGAATCGCTTGAACCTGGGCGGTGGAGACTGCAGTGAAACACGATCGCGCCACTGTCCCCCAGCCTGGGCGACAACAGAGCGAGACGCGGTCTCAAATCAACCAACCAACCAACCAACCAACCAAAACCACAAACCGATCAGTACCAGCAGGTCCAGAAAACACGCTATGGGAGCTGAGAAGAAAAGGGTTACTTCTGCCGTGGAAGCCTGGGAGAGCCGGTGAGACGGGAGATTGTGACCGAGTGACAATGGGGAGGGAGGCGGGGCATCAACAGGTGCAGGAGGCTATTAGGTTCAGTTTAACTATTCCGTAGGTTATGTGCAGGGGAGTAATGTGAGCCGAGATTGACAGGCGATCCTGAATAGCCAGCTAATGAGTTTGGCCTTTCCTCGGGAGACAATGGCGGTCCACCTCGGTTTATTTCTACAGAGAGGCAAGATGAGACCGATCTAGCGCTGTGCATGTACAAGGAACTCGAATGGCAGAGGGTGGGAGGGAGATGTTAGCCTGAGCCGACGGCGCTGGAAGACGGCTCTGCAGGACTTACTCTAAATGCGAGAAAGAGAAAGAAAGGAGAAAACAGGAATTCAAGATCTGCCAGAAGTAAAGGCCAGCTGAGGCGAGGGAAGAATCGAACGGCTCGTGTTTTAAGCCGGGCACGGGGCAAGCCTCCCAGTGACTTCTATCCGAGGCGAAAGTCTCAAAGCCAAACGTCCCAGGCCATCTCATTTGAAAGGCAGGTCAGAATCAAGCAATGCTAGTCCTGGAAATAAAACTCCAGGTCACGTATTTCCGTTCTCTCCGTTTAATTTTTTTTTTTTTTTTTTTTTTTTGAGACGGAGTTTCGCTCTCGTTACCCAGGCTGGAGTGCAATGGCGCGATCTCGGCTCACCGCAACCTCCGCCTCCTGGGCTCAGGCAATTCTCCTGCCTCAGCCTCCTGAGTAGCTGGGATTACAGGCACGTGCCACCATGCCCAGCTAGTTTTTTGTATTTTTAGTAGAGACGGGGTTTCACCATGTTGACCAGGATGGTCTCGATCTCTTGACGTCTCGATCTCTTGACCTCGTGATCCACCCCCGCCTCGGCCTCCCAAAGTGCTGGGATGACAGGCTTGAGCCACCGCGCCCGGCCCCATTTAAATTTGTAGTAACTAGCCGGGTGTGGTGGTGCGCGTGCCTGTGGTCCCAGACACGTGGGAGGCTGAGGCAGGAACATCGCGGAGCCCGGGAGTTTGAGACCAGCCTGGGCAGCACAGCAAGACCCTATCTCTTTTAAGGGTGGCGGGGGAGGACCAAGGTAAAGAAAGTAGGTCTGGAAAGGTTAACCGGCTTCTCCGAGGGCACTCAGCAGAGCAGGGACAGAGCCAGGTGCAACCCACGTCGCCCAGTCCAGTGTTCTTCCTACAACCACGCTGCTCCCCGCTGGCCAACGCTCCCCATTCTCGAAAGGCCTGATGGTTCCCGCAATTAGAACGACCACCCCAAACGCTGTGTCTTTTCTCTGAGCCCTCACACGTGTCGTCCTCACTAGGTGGGATTCCTTTCTGTCTGCCAAACTGTATCGTAGCTCTTTACGAGAAACTTTACCTGCAAAGTGCTCCCAGCGGAGCTCCGCCATACCGTTCCCACCACCGCTACCTGTCACCGTCCATGCAACCCCACCCTTTTTGAGACAAGTCTCACTCTGCCACCAGGCTGGAGTACAGTGGCGTGATGCCGGCTCACTGCAACCTCTGCCTCCCAGGTTCAAGCGATTCTCTTAACCTCGGCCTTCTGAGTAGCTGAGATGACAGGCGCATGCCACCATGCCCAGCCAATTTTCAGATTTTTAGTAGAGATGGGGTTTCACCGTGTTGGTGAGGATGAAATTAAACAAATAAACCGACGAAAACCACAATCCCATGGTCTCGATCTCCTGACCTCGTGATCTGCCCGCCTCGGCCTCTCAAGGTGCTGGGATTGCAGGTGTGAGCCACCGCGCCCGGCCCATGCCCACACACTTCTGTCAGTCCAGTTCAGCTCCCTTCTCTGCCACCGTAAATTAAGAAGAGCCCAATGGGATCATGATTAAAGACATCTGCACTCACTGATGTCTCCTAAGATTTTTTTTTTTTTTTTTTGAAGAATGCAAGTGCCAAATTAAATGATGATAAAGGCAACGCTGGAGGCTGAGGTGGGAGGTCACTTAAAGCCAGGAGTTCAAGACCATCCTAAGCAACAGAGCGAGACCCCATCCCCATAGAAATAAATAAAGAACAAAGGCCACATTTGAGAGGATAAGCTAAGAATGGGGAGGCCGTTACCAAGGAGGGGGCCGCGTACAGTCTGCCATGGGGTTAACGCGGCATCTCCTTAGACATCACTTTTACAATTAGGTTTCCGGGAAATCTAATTACCTTTCTCTCCACCTCTGCCTTCCGCACAGATATCCTCTTCTGGCTTCCCCTTTATCACTGCCATTTTCACCAGCACTGCCTAGGTTCTGGCTAGAATACTATCCCCTTCGAGGAGGCAAACGCTTTCTCCGCATTGTAGCAAGTGTCAGGAGTGCCTTTTCTTATAACACAATAGAAAGCAGAATACCAGGGCTGCTGAACCGGCTTTTCCTAGGAGAAGTGAATAGGCTTAAATGGTCTTTCAAAGGACCCAGGTAGGGAGAGAAACTGTGTCATTTATTAAATATTCCAACCCTTCTCCCTTGCCTGCCATCACCCATTACATAATCCCTGGAATATAGTAACTAACTCATCAAGTCACTGAAAACGGGGTCACAATGTAAAATTGCTTTTTAAATCTAATTCTATGACATTATGTCTAATGGGTCAAAAGCCACCCAGAAAACTCACCAAAAAACTTGCAGATCCAAGCTAACTTGCGAGGTGACGAAGTCATTGCTGAACTTACACCCGGAGCTCGGAAGACCGTAAAATGCAGACTCAGAGAAGATGAGAATCAAGGATGGGTGGTGAAGCCCTGGAGGGCAAAGCCTTTTCCCTCTCCCGTTAGTAACTGTAAACCCTGGCAGTTGGTACCACCTGGATAAACCCATGCACACTAAATACAAGCCCTGGTTTCCCCGTCCTGTGATGAAATGCAGAGGAAGAATTTTACATCCAAACAGCAGAGAGGAAAGAAACAGGAAAGCTATTTTTAATCCTGCGCAACAAAAGAAATGGCTGAACAGTTCATCAGTTAAAACGTTTTCCCCTTAGTTTTCATGGGTGTGGATATTTCGGCTATTGGCGTTTGCCAGACGAAGAAGATCTGTTTGACAACAATGTGAATCTACTTATTACTGTTGAACCAACCACTTTCAAATGTGTTTACGACAATAAAATTTGGCTTTTCCACATTAACACTGTCTATTTCCGAAGGCTGTAATGATGAAACGAACCAATGGCACGCAGTGAACGCTCCAGGAAAACATTCATCTTACAGCGGTTTCATCTTCCTCACAATGGTAAGTTTGTGGAAAAACAGCGAAGCGTCCTTTTCAAAATTCAGAGGTTTCCGAACAATAGAAATTCATCTGCTTTTAATATACGGCCTGCTGTGTTCATGTGCCAAGAAAACTCTCTGCGAGCACTATTTGGAAATCCAGGTTACTGCTTACAAAGCTTTACGGCTTAAGGTTTCGACCCAGAGCTTACGTCTCAGACTAAGGCAATAAGGGACTCGACTACACATCTTCCACTTTCTCTCCTCCTCTTTTGTTATTTCCTTTTCACTGTGAGCACTGAGCTGTGAGCACAGAAATCTGAACTTTGCCAAGATGCTCTGGGACAGAAGAGGAAGGGGGGGTGGCGGGGAAC